TACTGGAGAGAATAACTCTTCAGAAAATTTTAATAGTTTAAATAATTATTACAAAGCCTAATAAAGTGAAGGCAAGATTGCCGAATTTTTTTTTAAAAAAAAATATATATATAGATTTACTATCTTGATTACATAACTGATTCTGATTTGTTGATTGTCTTTCTCGTGATCTACCTATTGATTTGGGATCAGAGTCATGCTGTGGTGATAAGGACCGATCTTGGGGTTGGTTAGATTGTTGAGTTTGGTGAGATTGTTGAGGTTGGTTAGATTGTTGAGTTTGGTGGAATTGTTGAGTTTGGCAGGATTGTGAAGTTTGATGGGATTGTGAAGTTTGGCGGGATTGTGAAGTTTGGCGGGATTGTGAAGGTTGTTTTGAGGTTTGATATGATGAATGTCGAGTTCTCATCTTAGCAAAGATATTATGAATATTTATAATACTTTTTGATGAATCAGATGAATCATCATCATCATCATAAGTATTATTATAAGTAACCGATGTAGAACGGCAATTATGAGGATTATAAGTAAATGATTGAGAATGAGATATATGAGGAGTGACAGATAAAGAACAAGTTGAATAGCAGTTATGAGGATTATGAGTGACCGATTGAGAACAGTATGTATGAGAAAGACAACAAGTTTTAGAAAAGTTGTTATGGTTAGCAATTGTATCAAAGGTAATCGGTTGAGAGAGAGATGTAGTTGTTATAGGAGTGGAGAGAGAAGGTGCAGGTAAGTTTGAGTTGTTTGAGTTAGTAGAGTTGTTTGACATTTTAATCAAAAAATTTCAAAAATGTATTTAATGTATTTACCTTTAACCGTTGAAAATCTGTTGTACCGTAAAACGCTCTTTATATTACCCCCTGTGTAAAGTACCCCCTGACTTTTTTGAAGATAATTTTTGTATTGTACCCCATTATTAAAAAGTATTAAAAAAAAAAAAAAATTATATTAGAGATCGCTATGTATTGTACCCTCTAGATCACGTATAGAATGTAAAATACCCCGGGTACTATAAAGAGCGTTTTACGGTATTTATATTTGTATATTTAAAAACTTCGCAAATATGTAATTTAATAAATTTAATGACAGTAATCGTTATTTAAAGAATAAAATATGAAAATGAAAACTTATCTCATTCTTTCGGTTTGTCATTATACTTATAGACTATTGCTGAGATTTACAGATTTTGTCATTATCAAACCGATATTATATCAATATAATTATAATTTAATGTTACTCATTATGTTACGTATAATACACAAATACACGCTAGTTTTTGCACATGTTATTGCCTTATGAAAACGTGCAATATATGAAATCACTTAAAGCGATTAAAATCAATTTATATAAATTTTATTGATATAAATCGATTTATATAGATTTTATTATATAAATCAATTTATATAAATTTTATTTTATAAATCGATTTAAAAAAGATACTCACGTTATATTCTTCGGATCTTTCTTATTTGATCCTTATAATCGATATATATATATATATATATATATTTTTTATATTGCCAAATGTAGAAACTTTATTAGTCATGATTCACACCTTTTTACAGAGCAATTGATATACAGTTTC